GAKACTAGAGGACATTGACCTTTTAGAGGTGTTGGCTGTTCCTGAAGAAAATTCACTGCTGCTCACAGGAATGGGGTGGAGTGAAAACACACCCAAGCAGAGGCAGGAAGCCACATGTGTGGGGAGAAGAGGAACATGCCCCAAAGCAAGCCAGTTTGTTCCCAGACCAGATCTTCCATTCTAAGGAGGCTGCCAAGGCTCAATTGTCCATCTCAGGACTATGTAGGTTGCTGAACTTGTGTGTCAGATCTGGGTTAGTATTTACATCATACCCAAAAATACACCTCTGTGGTAATAAAAAAAACAAACAAACAAAAAAAAAAAAACCTATCTTTTGTGACAAGGAAGGCACAAGTACCTAATCTGTAACATTGTTATTGAATGTGAAGATCATTCCCAGCAGGGAGTCTTCCTTGACCCCCCCACACAATAGGTGTGAATCCCTCTAACTTGTCCTCAAAGCCTGTGTTTCAATAAATAGGTAACTGCCCATTTCCACATGGTACAGATTCTACATCTCTGAGTCAGAAGGGAGAAAATCGTGGGAGGATGTACATTGGAGCCAAGATAGCCTCTTCAACAAATGGTGCTGGGAAAACTGGAAATTCATATGCAACAAAATGAAACTAATGATGATGTAGCTTCATAAAGCAGGACATGGGGAAGCTACACATTGTTTCCTCCCATCAATGCAGAGCTCCATGTGACTAGTAGACACTCCTGCTCTAGACTGGAAATATGTTGGACAGAGTTTTACATATTGTCGGTGAGATATTTCTGTCACCAGTGGTACGCTAGAGAGAATCTGAATAATCCTGAGGTCATTCTGCAGTCTCTCCTGGGAGAGGGAGTGAAGCCAGAGGATGACCCACTCCTCTTTCTGGGTCTGATTTTCCTGATGTRTCAAGCAGGCACTTGAGTTCTGTGATCCGTGTCCTCTCCATCCCTGCTGCCTTGTGAATCCTGGGGTGACAAATCTGAAATTAGTTCTGTTTTGATTTTATAGACAGAATGGTTTGGTTTTATCCTTCTCTCCAAAATCAAATTTTGCTTTATTTTGAGTAAGATTTATCAAAACACTCCAAACTGTAATTCTACTTAGATCCCAAAAATATTACCTGCAGACCTACTTTTACTCTTTTTCTCCTCATAAAAAAATAAGTTTATATGGCACATTTTAAATAAGTCTTGAAATGAATAGAAGGACACAAATAACATATGGGACATGAAATAATCCACCAACAGTAAATAGTCTGAAAAAAATATTTAATCAAAGGGGAAATAGTTTGCAAATAATTTTCCAGAGTATGCAATCTTGTCTCAAAAATATGTCTTTTTTTCCCGTGAGAATGTAAAAGGATCATATAATTACCATAAACTCATCATTTAAAATGATAATAAAACCTAAACCACAGCTATTTAGAAAAAAATGCATTTGGTATGAAATTTTGAAATGTAACCAGTAGAGTTTCAAATTCACATGTAATAGTACCGTGTACGTTTATGAAATTTCTTTGTACAGAATACCATAATGGGATTTCCATAGGGAACCCTAGGAATGATGTCATTATCACTGAGTACCAAAGGGTCATGTGACACAAAGGACTGTGGCTTAACTATGGCCACCTTCCATAAAAGACCTGTATATTCTCATTAAGGAAGTTKGGGCCTAATCCCACATGATGGAGATTAGAGCCTACTTTTTCTTCTAATAGGCTTAGTGTCTCTGGTTTAATTCCTAGGTCTTTGATCCACTTTGAGTTGAGTTTTGTTCATGGTGAGAGATAGGGATTTAATTTCATTTTGTTGCATGTGGATTTCCAGTTTTCCCAGCACAATTTGTTAAAGAGGCTATCTTTGCTCCAATGTACATTTTGGTGCCTTTGTCTAATATAAGACAACTGTAATTATATGGGTTAGTCTCTGTGTCCTCTCTTCTGTACTATTGGTCCACCAGTCTATTTTGGTGCCAATAACACGCTGTTTTTGTTACTATTGCTCTGTAGTATAGTTTAAGGTCTGGTATAGTGATGCTACCTGCTTCACTCTTCTTTTTTTTTCACATTATAATTTTTAATTTTTTTTTACATTATGGATTTTTAAAACAAAACTAAATAACAGCAGAATTTATTACAATTCTTATTACACATATAGAGCACAATTCAGTTTTTTATATCTGATTGTTGCTTCACTCTTCTTGGTAATGATTGCTTTAGTTCTTCTAGGTCTCTTATTTTTCCAGATGAATTTCATGACTGCTTTTTCTATTTCTTTGAGGAATGTCATTGAGGTTTTGATTGGAATTGCATTAAATCTGTATAGTGCTTTTGATTGGAAGTGCATTAAATCTGTATAATATGGTCATTTTGACAATTTTAATTCTGCCTATCCAAGAACAAGGGAGATCTTTCCATCTTCTAAGCTCTTCTTTAATTTTTTTCCTTAGAAAAAAAAATTTCTGTAGTTTTCATGGTAGCACAAGAATTAAAATCAAGAATTAATAAATGGGATGGATTCAAACTATAAAGCTTCTTCTCAATGAAAGAAAAATCAGTGAGGTGAATAGAAAGCCTGCATCTTGGGAGCAAATTTTTTCCACTCACACATCAGATAGAGCACTAATCTCTAGGGTATTTAAAGAACTCAATAAGTTAAACACCAAAAACAACAACAACAACAACTAAACACCAAAAACAACAACAACAACAACAAACAGTCCAATCAATAAATGGGCCAAGGAACTGAACAAATGCCCCTCAGAATATGATATACAATCAATCTACAAATATATGAAAAAATGTTCAACATCCCTAGCAATTAGAGAAATACAAATCAAAACTGCTCTAAGATTTCATCTCACTCCAGTGAGAATGGCCGTTCTTAAGAATACAAACAACAATAAGTGTTGGTAAGGATGTGGGGAGAAAAGGTACACTCATACATTGCTGGTGGGACTGCAAATTGGTGCAGCCAACATGGAAAGCAGTATGAAGATTTCTTGGAAAACTGGGAATGGAACCACCATTTGACCCAGCTATCCCACTCCTCAGTCTATACCCAAAGGACTTAAAATCAGCATACTACAGGGACACAGCGCCATCATGTTTATAGCAGTATAATTGACAATAGTTAAATTGTGTAACCAACCTAGATGCCCTTCAGTAGATGAATGGATAAAGAAAATGTGGTATATATACACAATGAAATATTACTCAGCAATAAAAGAGAATAAAATCATGGCATTTACAGGTAAATGGAAGAGGTTAGAAAAGATAATGCTAAGTGAAGTTAGTCAATCCCMAAAAAACAAATGCCAAATGTTCCTTCTGATATAAAGAAGCTGATTCATAGTGGGGTTGGGAGGAGAAGCATGGGAGGATTAGATGAACTCTAGATAGGACAGAGGGGTGGGAGGGAAAGGAAAGGGACATGGGAGTAAAAAAGATGGTAGAATGAGATGGATATTATTACCCTAAGTATATGTATGAAGACACAAATGGTGTGAATATACTTTATATACAACCAGAGATACGAAAAATTGTGCTCTATATGTGTAATATGAATTATAATGCATTCTGATGTCATATATAACAAATCAGAATTTTAAAATTAATTTTTTATTTAAAGACTTTAAAAAAGACTTGTGTATTCTCTATATTCTCCTGCAGAATGGAACAGCTCTGAAAATGAGTGGGCTAGCTAGTGGCACAAGAAGATCATCCAGATCTTTGTTCCCTTGGGAAATCTGCTGTCCATCTCATAAGGGAAAGAAGCGCAAAGAACTCAAGAGGATAGGAAAGCAAATGAGACACTCACTCCCAATTATTTAGTAACTCCCTGTTACCTAGAGAACAAAATTCAACTCCTCATGCAGAAGCCTGAGGCTCCTGCTTTCTCTGCCAAAGTAACCTTTCAGCCTCATCCATGCAACAGAGAATAGTGAAGGGATGGGATAAGAGAGGTAACCAGAGCCAAATAAATCAGGGCCTTGGCTTTGACTTGGAGTAAGATAAGAGCCAATATAGGCTCAGAGCAAGGAGTGGCAGGATAAACCTGATGTATTCTCCTTATTCATCCTTCTCAAATGTTCTCCATATTTTAGCATACAAACTCATCCACCCTGAGAATCYCCCCCAAATATTCCTAATCATAATACCCTCATTCTTTCTTAGTGCCACCTCAGCGTCCCTCCCACTTAATCAGCTTCTCTGATTCCTTCAGCAAGATGGGATGCTTGCTCCTGGTCTAATCCTATGAATGCCTGCTTAGACCACAGCCATGACTTTTGCATTTTCTGCCTAGCATGTACTAGAAGAAGTCAAATGACAAAATCAGACATGTCTTCAGCTGGTCTGCAGATCCCTCCAGCCATGAGTTACATTTTATACAGGAACACAGTGCTATAGCTTTGGCTGGTGTCCCACAAGTTTCTCAGCCCAGTTTCCAGGCCCTCAGCAATATGACAGCCAGCCACCTGCCAATCAGCAGTTTTGCCAATAGGCCCAATAATTCAATTCCATCCATTCATCTAAAAATATGGTAAAGGGGAATACAGACATTCAAAAACAGTTAAAGCCAAATTATCATCTCAACCATTTTTTTTTTCCGAACTAAACTGTCTGGACATAAACACATACCTGCCGTTCCCCTTCAGCCATGATTCTCTCTGGGAACACCGCAGGGACTCCTTGTCTCCACCACTTGTTCTSGGACTTGCTTTGTATGGTGCTGTCCTCTTTGTTACCCTGATTTATCACATTTTTACACCCCTTTCCCCACTAAAGGACAGGCTCTTTAGGRAGAGAGGTCTTACGGTTTTATTTGCGGGCCCCATTCGTTTCCTCAGCCACTGACTCTTGCTCAAAACAGAACAAAACAGAAGTCCACAGATGGATGGTTTGCAGGGCTCTCCCAGGTCTTCTCTCAGCCCTCAACTGCAAATGAAATAAAATTAAATTAAAAACCCAGAGCCCAAAGCTAACCGTCTACCTCTGTTGCAGGATTTTGTGCCCCTGTATCAAGACTTTGAGAATTTTTACACGCGGAACCTTTACATGAGAATCAGAGACAACTGGAACCGGCCCATCTGCAGTGCTCCAGGGCCTCATTTTGATGTGGTGGAAAGGGTATCTGATGACTATAACTGGACATTTAGGTGAGGCAGACACCTGGAGGGGCTTGGTGGAAAAATAAAAATCCCTTCAAGAAATTCTAGCATGGGCRCCAGATCACAGATCTGAAAAACCCCCAATACAAAGGTAGCTGGGGTCTTCATCATCCAGTCCTTGGCAGCACTCATGAGGCCAATAGAGGAAGTCACAGTAATTATGTTGGAAAGGTGGCTTATTTATAATGTAATTAAAGTGAAACCCTGTGTCAGAAGTACAGAGTCAGCCTTGAAAAACCCTTTTCAGCTTTCCTGTCAAATTGTACCCTTCTGTTCTCCCTAATGGGGACAGTGGTGACAGAGCTCTTGTTCCTTTAGAAATTCTTSTTGGACTTTGAACCAGAGCAAGATTTTCATGAAAGCAATTGCCCAAGGGAAATCAGGAGTGAGTAGTAYACCATGGCCCAGGATATCTTTCTCTAATGCTCATTTCCACTTCATTATGGGTTGCTTTCCTCTAAGGATAAGCCATGATATGCTGAAAAYAGTGTCAATTTAAAAGAAAAAGAAAACATATAATTTGGGCCAGGCCCAAATCCCAGTCTCTTGGGCACTGGGAGAATATTAAATGAGATAGTCCTCCKTGTTCACTTGCCTGTTTCCCTATAGGTTTACTGGAAGAATCATCAAAGATGTCATCAACATGGGTTCCTATAACTTCCTTGGGCTTGCAGTGAAATACAATGAGTCTATGAAGACAATAAAGGATGTTTTAGAAACATATGGCTCAGGTGTGGCCAGCACCAGACATGAAATGGGTATGTGCATCCACCACTTTGGAATTTCATCCAGTCCGGTCTCAGATTCCTTGTGACTACTTCTCAAGTTRAGATTGTATCTAGACTATGTGCCTCAAATCACTATTATAAACTTCAAAAAGCAAAAGGGATATAAAAGTCTTTTTGAAAATTTCAAGCATTGTGCTATTGCCAGGTGGTTTATTAAATGTGTTTTAATTTTCACACGTGAGTGAAAATATAACTTTTCTGATCATATTTCTAAAATAGCAACTATTGTGCCTCCTCCAACAGATCCTTTTCTGTCTTTTCTCTCACTTTTAGTATTAACWTTCATCACTGATTCAAATAATCTTGTTTTTATGTTTACATATAACCTGTCTCTGCTACTCCAACATAAGCTTCATAAGGAGAGGGACTAGCCTTGTGGAATGTTGGGTTGAATGAATGAATGATAAATGAATAGACAAGATGGCACAGACTGCCTATTTATTTATCTTCTAGCAAAAAAATAAAAAATAAAAATCTTATTCAAAGGAATAAAATTTGTAATAAGGAAACTTCCACTCCTCTCAACGGCAGGGAGAAAAAATACTGTGAACTTGCTCTTGGAGAATGCTTTGYAATAGCTGGTATGTTGTGGTGGTGATTGTTTTCATGTATCATATCACTTATTCCTTAAAAAATAAAATTCAGTGGCGCACRCCTATAATCCCAGAAGATCAAGAGTTCGAAAGTCAGCTTCTRCAAAAATGAGGCACTAAGCAACTCAGTGAGACCCTGTCWCTAAATAAAATACAAAATATGGCTGRGGATGTRGCTCAGTGGTTGAGTGCCCCTGAGTTCAATCTCTGKTACCCCCCTTAAAAAATAAATAATAACATCCTGTACTGTAAGCAGCATGGGTRGTATTTTCCCATCTTCTAAAACAAACTGAATATCATGTTATCTAAGTGATGTGTCCAAGTGGTTCATTAACCACCCTATATTTCAGTCTAGTTCAGCTTTCTCTACTATTATGATTCTCCATCATGAGGACAAATGCAAAATTTACCAGGTTAGTCCGAACCTGCCCAAGAATCAGTGAGAAGTCTGATGRAAAGGGATTTACCATTAATGAATAATGAATCACATGCCCCTCTTAGATAATTAGTATAAGGGCTTAAAGATCAAAAGTTATTTGAACAGTAAAACAAATAATTCAAATTGCACAATGTAACTTTATTTATTCAAGCAAGCATTTGACAAATAGCCAAAGCTCCAGTTTTAATGTGATTGCTCAGATTTCTTAAGAAAGACAGCTTCAGAGAAAAGCTTTCTTAGCATGAGAGCTGGAGATGTAACAGGATGCTGGTGGGTTGTGGGAACAGGGTTGGTACTAACTCACCCATGATGCCCCATTTGGTGATGGAGAGAGAATGGAATAATACCCCAGCCATAAGAGGCACAAGTAAGAAACATTTAGGGATGTTTCCTCTGGTGCTGGTGACATCCAGTATCAGGTTCRTAATGACCAGGCAAAAGTAGAGTCCTAGAGATGATGACCCCTCCACTCAGTGAGATAGAACACTCCGCCATTATAGCTGGCAGAATCTGAAGGAAGGCATTTGACACTGGCTATGGTTTACCTGCAAAGGAAAGTAGATATAGAATAAGGATCCCTGATTCCATGGGTTCAGCAAACCCAGAGAAACTATGCAGAAATGAAGTTTCCATCTGTTACTGATCACAGCCTAAAYTCTTTCTCTGCCTACTAATACCTTTGAATTGTTAATCTTTTATATTTACCTGCTTCTTGCAACACTYAAGTTCAAGTTCCAAGAAGAGATTTCAATAGTTTCCAAGTGTGCATAATGACAGACCCAAAAGAGAAGTCACCCACACAAATTTTAGACAAATAGAAGGACTGAAACATAAAGATAAGCAATCAGTCAAGAAGTGAGTAAATAAGAGGGGACTTTGAAAGTATTCTGCAATATAAATAATAATCTTAACATGGCATGCAACAATTTGGAATAGTAGAAYTCCAAAAGACATTTATTCTAAGAAATTCAAGTAACTCTTGAAAAACATGTGCTTTAGAGTCTTAAGAAAATATTTAACTGCACAAATGGATTAACAACAGATTTGCCTACTGAATGGAAAATTGAAATTTGGCCCCAAAACCCAAACTCAACTATGTGCTGTAAATTAAAATAAATATTATTAAATTAAAGTTATTACAAAGGATGAAAAGTATAAAGATAGGTCTTAACCAGATACCTGGTTTCTACCTCCCTGCTATAACTGAAAGTAAAGTGACCATGACACTCAGAGCAACCAAGACATCTTTATTGTGGCAGTGTMTGATTAACAGGGAAGGAGGAGGAGGAAGAGGAGGAGAAAGAGGGGGGGGTAGCATGCAGGGGGGAGGGGCAGCAAAGTGAGAGAGAGAGAGAGAGAATAAGAGGGAGAGTGAGAGAGAGCGCAAAATGAGAGAAGAAAGAGAAAGCAAGAGAGGGCCCCCCCCCAAGAGAGTTTTTATAGCCCAAATCTAATGGGGTCTTTGGGTCTGCAAGCTGTCTTGTTGGTGTACAGTGATTGGACCATACAGTAGTTGCTAAGGATGTCATCTTCTGTCTTCAGGCAGACAGGGCAGGGGTTAGATGTGGGTTTCTGTTGGGCCAGACAGGTGAGGGTCCAGTGTTCAGCCTTGAGTGGGGTTGAGTGTTCAGACTTGAGGCAAACAAGCGATAAGRAACCAGACGGGTGAGGGTCGAGTGGCCAGGCTACCCTGCAGCCAACATTTGTTCAGCCTGCTCCGCAACTAACAATAACCACCAGCACCACACCCCTAGTGGCCAAGAGGAGGCCAGGCCAGTGGAAAAAGTGATGAAAGCCCAAAAAGAAAGTAGTTGCTTTTGAAACCCACACCTGTTAGAACTAAGGCCAAAAATAAAGCTGGCAATGATACATTCCCACAAATACACATAGAGAAATGCAAATGCCATTTTCAAGATGTGAAATAATGTACTGCTCTTTATTTAAATACACCTTAAAAAATAATGGAATACAGAATTAAGGGAGATTTCAATTCTCTTGTGAGTCAATTTAACATTGTGCAGGACGATGATAAAAGAAAATGCATAGTTTTCAAATCCTAACTATGAGACAGACTGGAATGGTATTTTGGAGTCATAATCCAGTATTTAAAATATCTAAAATATTTAAAATTATTAATATCTTCTATTGGTGATTTTTTTTCTCTGATGCTCCTGGATCTTGGCTCTCCTTTTCAAATTATGTGCTACATGTGCAAGTTTAATAGTAGCTACATAGAGACAGTCTAGTTTCTCTTAAATATATTGCTCAAGTGCTGTGAAAGGTTAGAAATTTGTGAGTGACATCAAAGATGTGCAATAGAGAACTCTAGGCCTAACAACTTATCAAAGCTTTAAGAAACTGGGCTCAATTTACTCTTTTCATGGTGGCTGGAAAGTCACTAGAAGAACTATTTGCAAAAGGATTCTAAAATTACATAGACTTTTAGATTTTCAGCACTGGGATTGAGAATTTTGTGCAAATTGTTCATAATGTCTGAGTTTTAAATATCAAACAACAATAAGTAATATCTATTATGCAAGACATTTCCACATTTGATCTTTGAATTTCCTTGTATTCAAAAACAACTTAATTCTTCTCTACTTAGAAGATATTTGACTAAATTGGTTTAGCAATGGAAAAGAGCGCAGCAACCCCTAAGGCAAAAACAATGCATAATTGCTTGTTCTTCCTTCACATGAGTTGAGTTTCAAATAAAGAGTAAGATGAAACTTTAAAAAATAAATAAACAAATGGACTAAATGCCTGGTGTAAATATGAACAGAAAACAAAGCACAAAATAAGCTTCACTTATGAATCATTAAACAGAATAAAAGATGCACATCATAAAAATAATAATAAAGATAAATACACCTCCTTTACGCATCACATAACACAACAGATACATGTGTGGATTTTGTTTATGTGTGTGGGTGTGTGTACAACCAGCAATTAAAGGGATAAGAAATTGTGGAAGCCTTCAAAAAGCATAAGGTCAATTTATATTCAGTCCACAGAAACAAAAGAAAAAAATAGAACATGAAAGAGTAATAGAAGATCATAAATCTCAATCCTTAAAAATGCTTAGCCAGGGGCTAGGGTTGTGACTCAGTGGTAGAGTGCTTGCCTAGCATGTTCGAGGCACTGAGTTCGATCCTCAGCACCACATAAAATAAATAAATAAACAAAATTAAGGTATTGTGTCCAACTACAACTAAAAAAGAAAAAATTGAATTAGCCAAAAACTGCAAGAAAAAAGATATAGAAAATGAAGACCTGTAATTACAAGTGATTAATGTTAATTTAATAACTATGTATTGAATGCTAAACCTTAAAACATAATATCTGYGTACTTCATCTTTTTGAACAGTTATTAAATTTTCACAAAAATTTACTATAAATTATGCCACAAAGGAAATCTCATTAAATTCCCCAAAGTGGAACGTACATAAGTTGCCAGTGAGCCTATGAAATTGATATGTTAAGTAGTAGAAGAGTTTTTTAAAGAATAAAGTTTACTCAACTTAGGAAAAATACCAGAAAAAAATGTGGCCAGTGAGCTATGAAAAATATTCTGGCCCATTAGTGAAGAAAGACTAAGACATTGAGATATCATTTTATTTATATTTATTTTGTAATATTTTCTCATTTTTTCACAAGCATACCATATTCTTTGGGCAAATTATTTTCAAAATTATCACAAAAAAATGAGAAGAAGAAGGCTGGGAGTGTAACTCAGGGATATGTATGACTGAAGCACTGAGTTCAACCACCAGCACCAGATTTAAAAAAAAAAAAAAAAAAAAAAGAACAGGAGCCTAAATGAAGTTGAGTGTTTAGACACAGTCTTATGAAGAGAGTTCCTGCACTTCCAAGATGTTGCTATTGAATCAGACCATAGTTCGCTGTCTATTTGAGGGGCTGTGGAGCAGAGAGTATGT